CCTGAGAACATCATCCTCACTGCTGCTCTTTCATCCCAGACTCATGCTTTTCCCTCTGCACTCGTTCTTCTTCAGGAACAGCACAGGGGTGTGTGATTGATACCCGGGGCAGAATCCCAAGTGAGGGTTATTTTACACACACCTACACACTCCTTCACACTGAGATATCTACTCGCTCATACACAAAGAAATGTGTGCAAATGCATTGATCAAACATCTTGACTTCTGTGTACACACATATACTGTATATATGCCCATAAGCTCTTATAAGGACATAACTGTACAGTGAGCAATATTTACTCATACATTCTTGTTACTTTAAGTGTCGGATTGCAGAAGACAGGAAGATCAGGAGAGGTAAATAAGCATGCAGACTGGATATTAATTCAGTTTGTGGGAGATGTTTGAGTGAACAAGAGGAGGGAAACTGAGAACAAGAGAGTGCTTAACATGATTTACCCAAGTAGGACATTCTTGTTGGTCCTGGAACAACATTTGTATCAACCAATCCGATTTTCAAGATACGATTAGAGTTATGGATAGGGTTAAGCTCACATCTGAGGTCTACTACATTCTTAACAACCACTTACAGTTTATCTGATTTTTTGGGGGTGGTTTAGACTTAAAGACATAGTTCACCCAAGAATGAACATTTTGTCATCATTTACTCACCCTCAAGTTGTTCCAAACCTGTGTTGAGTTTTTTTTTCTTTTTCTATTGAACACAAAAGAAGATATTTTAAAGAATATTTATAACCAAACACTTGAGCCATTGACTTCCATGGTATTTCATAAATGATGACAGAATTTTCGTTTTTGGTGAACTATCCATTTAAGGTGCAGTCACAGCTTTCTGTTCAAAGTGAAAGTCTCCCATACTTGGAATTTGTGCTCTGCATTTAACCCATCCAAGTGCACACACACAGCAGTGAGAAGTGAACACACACAAACACACACACACACACACACACACCGTGAACGCACACCCAGAGCAGTGGCCAGCCATTTTTGCTGCAGCGCCCGGGGAGCAGTTGGGGGTTCGGTGCCTTGCTCAAGGGTCTCACCTCAGTTGTGGTATTGAAGGTGGAAGAGAGCGCTGTACATTCACATCCCCCACCTATAATCCCTGCTGGACCTGAGACTCGAACCTGCAACCTTTAGGTCATTTTTTAATTGCATGACCAACTTGAATTTTTTCGTCCTCATGCAAAACTCCAAATCACACAGATTGAAAATTTCACAGTGTTAAATGTGATCACACCTTTAGGGATAGTTAACCCAAAAATAAAAATTTTGTCATAATTTTCTCACATCACAATGTTTTTTTTTTCTTCTGGAAAAACACAAAGAATATATTTTGAAGAATTATTATTATAGATTTTTAAAGTTATTTTTTCATATTATATCGTATTTCATATTTAGTTTTTTATCATATTACATTTTCAAGTTCTAAAAAGAATATATACTAAAGTAGAATGAACCTGATCTATACGGCTCGACTGCTGTACTGTAAGCATCAAAATCTCTTTGTGGGATAAACAAGTTGAAATGTAAGCATTCATACACTCTTAAATCAAAACATTGATTAACACACTATTTCGCCATTTTATTCACAACAACCAAGTTTGGCGTTGGCATAAGAAGAGATATACTCACCAAGTCTGCAATTTTTTATATCAAAAATACAGTAAAAACAATAATATTGTAAAATATTAGTACAATTTCAAATAACTGTTTTCAATTTTAATGTTTTATAATGTAATTAAAGGGATAGTTCACCCAAAAATGAAAATTCTGTCATTAATTACTCCCCCCTCATGTCGTTTCAAACCCATAAGACCTTCGTTCATCTTCGGAACACAAATTAAGATATTTTTGATGGAATCTGAGAGCTGTCTGACCCTCCATAGACAGCAACGCAATAGAAATGTTCCCAAGTCCAGAAACGTAGCAAGGAGATCTGTAAAATAATCCATGTGACATCAGTGGTTCAACCGTAATTTTACAAAGCTACGAGAATAATTTTTGTGCGCAAAAGAAAAAAAAAAAACAACTTTATTCAACAATTCGTCTCCTCCGCGTCACCCTGGTGCCATTTTGGAGAATATCCGCTGGACTTAAACAATGTATGATGTTCTGTGTCAGCTGCGTCACACCGGATTTGTTTCCTACGTTGTTGTGATTTGATCTGAACGGAAACAGCGTATCCGTGTGACGGTTGAACCACTGATGTCACATGGATTATTTTACAGATCTCCTTGCTACGTTTCTGGACTTGGGAACATTTCAGTTGCGTTGCTGTCTATGCAGGGTCAGACAGCTCTCAGATTCCATCAAAAATATCTTAAATTGTGTTCCGAAGATGAACGAAGGTCTTACGGGTTTGAAACGACATGAGGGGGAGTAATTAATGACAGAATTGTTATTTTTGGATGAACTAACCCTTTAAATCCTGTGATGGCAAAGCTGAATTTTCAGCATCATTACTTCAGTCTTCAGTGTCACATGATCCTTTAGAAATCATTCTAATATGACACCAAATTTTTCAATGGTAATGTATATAGTAGGTTATTTTTTAGTTCCAGTCCATCCTTGGGCTTATGGGTAGAATTAGGTATATGATTATTCCAGGACAAACAAAGGATATTGATCCAGGATCATGTTCTACTTTAAAACATGTAATGCGGGAGAGAGTTTGGGAGAAAGAAAGGCAATATGTGACAGTGAGAAATTGAAATAGGATATAAAATAGTAAAAACTGCAGGTTTGTGTAAAGATGTTCTGTACATCCACCACAGACACTTGAGTCAGCATTTTTTCACCTGCATTCTTTGTTTGGCTCTGTGATACTTCCTCGCATTTCTGTACCTCGAGGGCTCCAGTGGCCCACTAATTAAACTGACATTGGCTTCAGTCTCTTGCCCATGTGCCATCATGTTGATAAGGCCATTATGGGGGAGGGTGTTGTGATATGTGGTGGCCATGGTCCTCCTGCCAGCATCAGATGTTCAGAGATCAGAGTGTGAGCGTCTGCAGCGCCTGTTCCCAGATCAGAAGGATTCACCAAGTTCTACTGCCCCAGCAGTACTGAGATAACAGCAGACAGATGCACCCCAATGCGCCTGACACTGTTGATAATGAACACACACACGCTGGCCTAACACTGTGCAAGCAACAAGCTATTTGTAGACAGTGAATGTGAAACTGCTGCGCAATGTGACACAGTTAAAGCTGGGGTTTGGTGTTCCCCCTTCGGTGGTTATGGATGAAGACAAGGATGAAGATGAGTCGGTTCAGCACTGTAAAAATACAAGAAATGTCTATGCCTCAATTTTAGGACACTTAGACATGTCATACATGCAGCATACTTTGAATATTACATATTTGTTTGCATCAAATAAATCATAGAATTATTGATGTCTTGGGCTGTTTTTTATACCCTAATAGGACAATTTATCCTGGGAGATACAACTCATAAAATCCCAAATATAACAAATATTTCAAAAATTCCTTTGAATATGTTTTACTTAAGTCCAGATGAAATAAAAAGTGACATGAAATGATTTTTTTGCCGATCATTTTCTACTCTTGCCTTTTTAGGGTTAACTTATTCGATTTCAGCTGGTTGCCAAGGCACCATTTCTCACTTTATTTTAGTTTAACTTGAAGTACAAAAATAACTTAAACTGAGAAAAGAAGAAGAATTACATAGACATTAAAAAAATAATAAAATGACAAACACAAAAATTACTAAAAGTTTTACGAAAATATATATGTATATATAAAAAAACTATTCAAATTATTAACAAAAACTATAATCATATATTAATGATACTAAAATAACACTGACTGAAGTTGAAAGTGACATGAATTACCAATTCGAACCCATTTCTTTTGTAATATTCAGTGAGAAAAAAATAGGGTGGAAAACTTGGTGTGGTACTTAAATCTTGATTTCTTGATAGATGTAAAAAAAATAAAATAATTAAAACTGCCTTTTTAAATGTATTTAAAATGCATTATTATATAGAATTTAACCATTGCTTTTCTTTATCCTGTTGCCAAATGTTCTTTATCCATAATAACTTGATATTTTTTCCATTGAGAATTATTGATTAGTCCATGAAAAGTAGCTAGAAGTAGCTAATATTTGACTATTTGTAGCATTCAAAGTGAAACCAATGAAGTTTCACTGTACTAAAAAATGTCATGGCTGGTTAGGACACTGTTAAAACTCGGATTTAACTGGAAGCAAATCACTTGTTTTATCATGCCATGTCTAGTGTAAGAAGAACAGCTCCCGGACCATCTATGCTTACATTTCACTCATAGTGAGATCAAAACAACATTACGATTTTCGAAAGAGCACGTTCGGGTAGGCGCGCACACACATACACTCCCACACACACGTTCAGTCAGCATCAACCAGCCAGACGAGGCCAGGAGGAAGCGACTGATGAGAGGACACCCGCTGTCTTCTGCTCTCGTGTGAGAAAGCTGTCAGGTTGCGTTTGTAAGATGTCAATTAAAACAGACTCCATGAATATCAGCCACCACTGTTGTTGTTCTAGCACTTTGGCCTCCATGGAAAAACACTACAGAGGACCAGCCAAATGTTTTGCCGCTGCCAATCAATAGATCCCCCTCCAGAGCAGTAAAGGTCACTTCAGGATGAAGAAGATAAATCCCTGCTCCCCCATTCTGTACAACAGTGGCGTGTGCTGGGCTTCTGAAATGAGGAGTCAAAGTGTGTAAGTATATTGCCATTAGGGATACACTGATATTTCAGGAAGAATTCACCCAAAAATGAAAATTCTGTCATTATTTGCTCACCGTCATGTTGCTACAAACCTGTTTGAGTTTCTTTCTTCTGTTGAGCACAAAATAAGATATTTTGAATCATGCTGGTAACCAAATAGTTGACGGTAGCCACTGACTCCATAGTATTTTTCCCCCATACTTTGGAAGTCAATGGCTACCGTCAACTGTTACCGTCAATTTTCACACTTTCTCTTTAAAGTTGAGATATAACTGAAGTAACAACAGGTCTTCACTTCCATGTTGTCATATATATCTGGGTGATATGGCTTAGCAAAATGAAGAAAAAAAAGTAGGGCAGGGACTTCCCTCTAGGTTCTGGCTGTTGTTGATTAGATGGAGGCAGATCAGAATGCGAACTTGCTGTCAATTGTAAGAAAGTGAGGGTTTGAAGTGGAATAAATAAAAGTCCACTATACGTCATCACATAGAAGTCTGTCATTTTACTGGGGGGTTGATATTTTAATTAAAAATTACAAGGTCAAAACAGAAAAAAGGTAACCTATGCATGTATGAATTGTTCACAATAAGATCAATAACATGCATTTAGAAAATAGATATAATGGATTCCACATCAATCAGTCTTTTATTATTTATTGTTATTAATATTCAGTTAGTAGTTTTTCATTTAATATTCAGTATTTAAAATGACCTGATTGATACCAACAATTGATTTTATGACTGATAACCCAAAAATGGCAGATATAATGGCAGTATAATTTTATACTATTTTTAGTAGAAACATAAGAATTATAATATTTAATAAATAATTAACTTACAATCAATTATAAAAAAAATAAAACAATTAAAAAATTGTGCAATTAGTTTCAATTTCATCACATTTAAAATTATATGGTGAAAATGACATTTTAAATGTTTTTTTTTTTTTTTTGGAATAGAATTGCAAGTCTTTGTTTGGAATTTTTACATTTATTACTGAATATTAGTGAATTTATTCAAAACATCAAAATATTATGATTGAAATTAAGACATATATTTTCAAAGAGATTTGTATATTTTTAATAAGATAACTTTTAATTTTGAATGAGCGTGTAATGCCAGAAATAGTCATCTAAATGTAAAAATAGGTGAAACTAGGAAAAAAATAGGTGGATATTGGATCATTAAATATCCAATATTAGTTAATATAATCTGTATCTAATATTTACCTATATTGATCATTTTAAAAAATGCTAATATTGGGCGATAACAAATATGATAGAAAAATGTTGTGCATCTCTAGTTTCTGTTGGCTGTCATTTTGATGTGAATTTATAACAAAGCATCAACAATTCCCTCCCTGTGCACCTCTGCTCGAACTAGGGCGGAAAACTTTCAACATTCCTTCACCTTCCCTCCACTAATACATGATAGATGAGCTGTGGGTTGATCTGCTAATTAGCTTCTACGTGTCTCCGGTAGCCGGTTGGTGGAGGACGCTGGGACACTGGCTTTTGTTGTTTCTTGCCAGGGTCCCAGATGGGAGGCGGTAATTTTACGCCCCATATCCATTAGTGATATGCCACGCGAAAGACAGAAGTCAAACTCAGTTAGATGATACCAAGTTGTCAACATGAGAGTTTGACTGCAGCCTGAGGCAATCCGATCCCTGACTGACCTCCCCCTGTTTACTCTACAAGGCCAGGAAGAGAGAGTGTGTGTGTGTGTGTGTGTGTGTGCCATTTTTAATGTGAGGCTGAGCATTGAATTCGCATAGATACAACAACCCCAACGGCCTCTGATGTGGTCTGACTTGAATATATAATTCTGAACCCTCAGGTGTGAATGTTACTAAGGAAGAGATGAGTAGAATTGGCAGTTTGGTAGGATATTGCATCCCATGCAAACAAGAAACCTAAAACATACATATATCACTGGCTATCTTCGACCAAGATTACTTTAAGTGCATCAAAAGGAGGTGCTAAAGTCCCTAAATTCATTATATTGATAGCCTGAAGCCATTTGTGTCCCTCATGAGCTCCGTTTTGTAATCTCGCAAAACTCTCACGCCTCAGAAAGTTCCCTTGTGTGAAAGCTCTTGTTCAATAGAGCTAATTCATACATTTAAAATCACTGATAAAATGAAAAGTAATTTCTGGGGCTTTTTCATTCCTCATTCGCTCAATTCAAAACTCATTGAGATGCTCTTGAGCTCTCACTGTTTGTCTCACTGGGTTTGGAAGTGTTGAATAGAAGCTGTTAGAGGCAGGAGACGCCATCTCCCACTGCATGTCTACTTTGAGTTAGGTCAATGTATATGCAACTGTAATATAAAGATAGTGGGGCTCCATGGAAACTGACAGTATAGTCTTTGCTTCTGATGTTGTGGATTGAATGGCATTTCATGGCAGTTTTTGATGGAATTGACAGTGGTGGAATTTACATTTTAACATTTAGGAAATTTTTTTTATTATATATTAAGGATAATTTTGCTTGCATTTTATAAATCCTAAATACGCAATATTAAATAACATTTTCACACAGTTTTCAAATTTGACAAAATTACAGGAAAATTATGCAATATATATATATATACACGTGTGTGTGTGTGCTCTGTCTGCAAGTGTTTCTGAGTAATATTTTACTTTGATGCCATCTTAAGTTTTATATGTATAAAATGCTTTGATTAGATAATCATCGTTTTAAAGATAAATATATTTATTTATGGCATGATAAAAAAATCATGTGACTTTTATATAACAAAAAGGAAATAGAAGTCTATTGTTTTAATAAAGAAAACCCAAAGTTGAAGAAATACCCACATACTAAGGAGTTTTGCAATGGATCAAGGCACTTTTTCATGTCTTCAAATCATATTGCCACATCACATTCACATTTTGCCTTTTTTATTTTCATAGAAAATGATTCTTAATTATGACCTGCGTTTTTGAAGGCAAAGTTTCTGATTGGCAATTTCCTACCACTTAATGTTTCGAGTCTTTTAACAATTCAACACTTTCTCCTTGTTATTCAATTCCAGGATGTAACCAAGGGTTTTAATCAGATATTTGAAACAACAGCTGATTGAATTACATTGTGAATTAATTTAAGTTACTGATGAGCTCATAAAATCCATCAAGGATTGGAACGAGATAGCGCCTTAATTCATGTCTCTATTTCATGCTCTGGGCTAAGCTAACCCAACCATCTCTGGCTGCAATTCGGCATACGAAAATATCCTTTATGTATAGTTTAATGTGGTATATTTGGACTTAATCACAACACTAGCATGACACTTTAATATGACGTAGGCGTTATATCCACACTGTCTCCATGAGGTACAGCTAATAAAGTGCTATTTCTCGCTTTAATCCCACTTTTAAAGGTCTCCAGCATCACATGGGCGGGAATCTGTTGTGAGATGGGCTGTCAGCTCACAAGAAAGGTGTCTGGGCTGGTTGTGCTTTTGGAGACATGTTGGCCCAGGTCATGAAGTACGGTGCTGCAGGTTCTGTACTTTCATCCAGTTCAATCAGGCTCAACGTGGATGGCTTTCGCAGTGAGGAGCCTCCCCATCCGTCAGTTCAACCCCACACCAGTTTTCATGTCCCTCTCCATGATGGTCGATTAGGCCTCTCAGTGGAAAGAGCTAGTTCTTTTCTGGCAGGTGTATGGTGAGTTTCCTTCCCATGCTAAAATCATCACTGGCTGCTTTTTGCCGCTTGACAGGTGCTGCAAATAAATGAGGACTTTTACAATTGCTCTGTGCGTCTGGTTCATACCTTTTAGAGGTGAGGGACATATTTTGTTGTGCTTTTAAGAATAAATAATCACTTATCACTGTGTTGTTAACTGTTTTCTCTTTTTACTCCTTGTGAATCACCTTGACAGACAGAGTATTTTTGTATTTATTCCCTCCCAGAATCATAATAAAGTGTTTTTCATCTCCAATGCCTTTTCAGAAACGTCTTTTAAAATAGTGTGAGGATGTGAATAATTTCACCATGAAGCTCTAATTCTGGTTTCCCTGAGCTACTTGAAGAAGGACTTCTCCTTCTTTCTGTGTTTGTATGGGGAAAATGAGTTTGCTTGCTAGGGTGATGAGACTCCAAATGGCTGTCATTTCTCCTGGAATCAGATGAAAGTGGCCGCGTTGCCTGCAAACTCAGAGTAGCCTAGGGCAGTGATCAGCACTCACAATTTTCCTCTTGTCCTCTCTGCTGTTATTGTATGACTCTCTGGAGGGCCTCTCATCTTATCTGCAGCTCCGACCGCAGGACCGTGCAGGAAGGCAAAGCCATCTTCTATAACTCCTCATCTGGGCTGAGTGATGGAGCGCCGGTCGGTGAGGAGGTTAGCACAGATGCTGCAGTAGATCATCCACTAGACTTTACAGTTCAGCACTCAGGCCTATACATCAGCATGAGTGTGTGTGTGTGTCTGTATGTGTGAGTATGTGGGTGGATGATGTATCTGCTTTCATGTGCATGTGCTGTAATTGAAGTCACACATGTTTATAGTCACATTTTAGCATAACTCATGTTCTGAGTATCTAATTTGCTTCTGTTTGTCTCAGTCTCATGCCTTTCGTCTTCTCCAGAAATTCTCCTCCACACGTTCCTTAATCTTTGCCTGCTGTCTCCTACGAAATGCACGATGGTAACCATGGCAATGCTGCACCTGAGCAGGAAATAGCCACTCCAAACCCACTGAAAGCAAATTCTAGCCTTGTAGCCACGTGCTGATGTCTGTTATCAATTCATAATATAGGGTTGCTTTTCCTCATCTCATTTCAGAAGTCAGAAAAAGCTTTATTGCCAATTAAGTTTACACACACAAGAAATTTGTCTTGGCGACAGGAGCTTCCAGTGCAGAAGAAAGTACAGACATAGTGCAAACATACGTGATAGTGCAGACATACATATGAATTACACAGTAAAGAAGAAATATAACACTAATATAAGACAATATAAGACAAATATAATAACAGAAAATTAAATAATGCAATATAATACAGAAGTAGAAGAGAAAAACATATAACTGATTTAATGAATGTACAGATATGTTATTTACAAGTGTACAGTTTATGTAGTTTACAAATGTACAATTTTGAGATGCTATGTATAAATCTGTCAGTTATGATGGACAGTGTATAGTTATGAAAGCTGTTTAGGCTGAATATAGCCTGAGGGAAAAAAACTGTTCTTGTGCCTGGCTGTTCTGGTGGTCGGTGGTAGTGCCAGCCAGAGGGCAA